AATAATAATAATAATAATAATAATAATAATAATAATAATAATAATATAATAATAATAATAATAATAATAATATAATAATAATACTAATAATAATAATAATAATAATAATAATAATAATAATAATAATAATAATAATAATAATAATAATAATAATTATATAATAATAATACTAATAATAATAATAATAATAATAATAATAATAATAATAATAATAATAATAATAATAATAATAATAATATAATAATAATAATAATAATAATAATATAATAATAATACTAATAATAATAATAATAATAATAATAATAATAATAATAATAATAATAATAATAATAATAATAATAAAATAATAATAATAATAATAATACTAATAATAATAATAATAATAATAATAATAAAATAATAATAATAAAATAAATATAATAAATAAAATAATAATAAAATAATAACAGCACTGATGGCGAAGTGGGCAGTAATTTTAATGGCAAAAATGCTGGCATTTGTGGCAGCTGAAAAAATAAAAAAATAAAAATAAAAAATAATAATAATCAAATAAAATAAAAATATAAAATGAGATAAATAAATTAAATTAAATTAAATTAAATTAAATTAAATTAAATTAAATAAAATAAAATAAAATAAAATAAAATAAAATAAAATAAAATAAATAAAATAAAATAATAGTGGCAGTAAATCCGTAATGGAATGGCCGTAGAAATGGCAGACATTGGAGGAAAATAAAATAAAATAAAATTGCGAAAATAAATAAAAACAAAAAAGTAAAAATAAATTTAATAAAATATTAAACGAACACACACGAAACTTTAGACTTTCCGTTGCTGCTGCTGCTGCAGCTGCTGCTGCTGCTGCTGCTGCTGCTGCTGCTGCTGCTGCTGCTGCTACCGTTCGTGCTGTTTCTGCTACAGCTACTACTTCTGCTGCTGCTGCTGCTGCTATTGCCGCTGCTGCTGCGCTGCTATTGCTGCTGCTGCTGCGCTGCTATTGCTGCTGCTGCTGCTTTGCTATTGCTGCTGCTGCTGCTGCTGCTGCTGCTGCTGCTGTTTGTGCTGCAGCTGCCGGCGCCTCCGCAGCGAACATCAAGTGGGGAGTTGACTTACTGGGCCAAAAGGCCTTCTTTCTTTTTCCGACAATTAATTGAAACTCCAGACAAACCCTTTTGCACTTCAAACACGCAGCAGCAGCAGCAGCAGCAGCAGCAGCAGCAGCAGCAGCAGCAGCAGCAGCAGCAGCAGCCGGAGCTGCAGCAGGAGGAGCAGCAGCAGCAAGGTATGGGTTGGTTTCCGCTTTGTCTTTTGCGAGTGATTTTAATATAAATATAAATATAAATATAAATATAAATATAAATATAAATATAAATATAAATATAAATATAAATACAAATACATTTATATTTATATTTATGAATGCAAAACGGTTTTAATTAATCATTTTAATTTAATTTTAAAAAGCAAATATAAATAAATCCGGTTTTAAAAAGTAATTGTGAAAAAACTCTCATTCAACTGCAGCAGCAGCAGCAGCAGCAGCAGCAGCAGCAGCAGCAGCAGCAGCAGCAGCAGCAAGGTTCTTGCTTCTTTTATTTATTATTATATTTATTCATTATTATTTATGTGTTTATTACTTATTTATATTCTTATTTTTTTGTTTATTTATTTATTTGTTTGTTTATTTATTTGTTTGTTTATTTATTTGTTTGTTTTTTTATTTGTTTACTATTTATTATTTATTTTTTTATTTATTTATTTATTTATTTAAATTCCAGCTTGTTTTATCTGCTGCATTTCCTTCCTCCTTAGCTTATTGCCTCACGCGGAAACCCTAAACCCTCTAAACCCTAAACCCTAAACCCTAAACCCTAAACCCTAAACCCTAAACCCTAAACCCTAAACCCTATGCCCTAAACCCTGGACCCTAAACCCTAAACCCTGGACCCTAAACCCTAAACCCTAAACCCTAAACCCTAAACCCTAAACCCCGGGCGCAGTGGGAAACCCTGATTTAGGGTTTGCGTGTTGCAGGCCGCGGGGTGGTGCCGGTGTTTCCTTGCTACGGGGGTTTCGAGGGTTTGTGTTTTAAAGCTTTTTCTTTTGCTGCTGCTGCTGCATGCGAAGCAAATCAAAAAAGGTTTTCTTTTGAAGTTTATAATCGCTTTTCCGACAAACTCCGAATTATGTTGGAAGAAAACTGCAAAAACCTCCAAAAAACACCCGGAATGGACTTCGTAGGAGCCGTCTAGGGTTTAGGGTTTAGGGTTTAGGGTTTAGGGTTTAGGGTTTAGGGTTTGGGGTTTGGGGAGGGTTTGGGCTGGGCCTGCGGCAGGTGAGGGCGTGCCAGGAGACACGCCCAAAAGGTAAGTAAATAAATAAATAATTAAATTAAATAAAATAATAAAATAATTAATTAAATAAAATAAATAAATAAATAAATAAATAAATAAATAAATAAATAAATAAATAAATAAATAAATTAATTAATTAATTAATTAATTAATTAAATTAAATAAATAAAAAGATATAAAAAGTAAAGATAAATGAAAGGAATAAAAGAAATAAATAAAATTGAAAGAAAGAAATCAGAAGTGGAAAACACTCAACTCTTTTTTTCTATTTTATTTTACTTTCTTTTATTTATTTATTTATTTATTTATTAATATTAATTTATTTATTTATTTATTTATTTATTTATTTATTTATTTATTTATTTATTTATTTATTTATTTGGTAGTTTCCCTTTGCCATTTAGTCGAATAATGAAATAAAAAGAAATTGAAGATTTGAATTTTTTGAATTTCAAATTTCTGCAGTTAAATAAAGTCAAAAAGAAATAAAAACAATTAAGTTCAATTCTCAGCAGCAGCAGCAGCAGCAGCAACAGCAGCAGCAGCAAAAAAACAAACACTCAGTGCAGCAGCAGCAGCAGCAGCAGCAGCAGCAGCAGCAGCAGCAGCAGCAGCTGGTGAGCTGCCGGTGCCCTCCTGCAGCAAAAGTGGGTTTAGGGGGCCCCACAGCCAAAAAAAGAAATAACAACTCCAGGGGGCCCCTGTGGCTCTCTTTGCACATCTCAGAGCAGCAGCAGCAGCAGCAGCAGCAGCAGCAAAAGCAGCAGCAGCAGCGGCAGCAGCAAAAGCAGCAGCAGCAGCAGCAGCAGCAGGGAGTTTAAAAGACATGTAACCAGTCCCCGTAACTAGTGCCTCCCCAGTACCCCCTTGCTTGTGCTGCTGCTGCTGCTGCTGCTGCTGCTGCTGCTGCTGCTGCTGCTGCTGCTGCTGCTTCTGTACTACTCTAGCTATGCTCCCTGCGCGTTGATTTGGGGTGTGGGGCCCTTAGGGGGGCCCCTGGGGGCCCCCCCAGGGGCCCCACACCCCAAGTCACCCAGGGGGCCCCCTGGGGCCCCTGGAGAAGAGAGTTAGTGGAGTTTGCTGCTGATTCTTTTGGGCTTGAGTTGAAGCTTTTATATCTGCTGGAAGGTTTGGGGAGAAGAAAGGGAACTCTATTTAATTAAATAATTAAAAAAATAAAAAGAAATAAAAAAGAATTCTTCAAAAGTCCGATTTTAAACAAAAATGAAAAAAAACGAAAATGGGAGTTTTGGGCAGCGGCTGCGGGCGGGCGCGAGGTGTCTGTACACCCCAGCGCAGACAAATTTCAAAAGGAGTTTTGGAGAAATGAAAAGACTTTTAAATTATTTAAATTCTTTTTATTATTTTATTTAATAATTGAAAATAAATAAAATTAATTAAAAGGAAAAAGCTGCGGAAAAGACAGAACTTGAATTCAGATGCAGCTCTTCAGTTTCTCCGTTTCGCTGCTCCCCTGGGATTATAAACCCTAAACCCTAAACCCTAAACCCTAAACCCTAAACCCTCAACCCTTCCCCATACACCAGGAACGCCAATTTTCAAACTCCACACTGCGAAACAAGTAACAGAGTAGCCGATACAACGATTTAGGGTTTAGGGTTTAGGGTTTAGGGTTTAGGGTTTAGGGTTTGAGCTCGCTTGCTTCGGCCTGCAAGGGGTGAAATGAATAATTGGCCCTGCGGATTATTTAGCCGAAGCTGCAGAAACGAAAAATAAATAAAATAAAAAATAAAAATAGAAAATAAAAATAAGAAATAAAAATTAAAAATGCAAATAAATAAAAATAAAAATAAAAATAAATAAAATATTAAAAATAAAAATGAGTAGAGAAATCCAAATGCATGCAAATAAGAAATTTCGTTTTTAATTTATTTGAAGTCTTTCTTTAAAAGCGGATTTTTATTCTTTCTAATTTTCTTTGTTTCAAAAGATTAAAGACTAAATGCATGCATGCATTTGCATGCATGCATTTGCATGCATGCAAATGCATGCATGCATTTGCATGCATGCGAAGAGGACATTTAAATATAAAGATATGAACTTTCTTCTTTTCTGGTGCCAATTATATATTTTGAAAGAAGTTTAAATGCACCCTTTGTACTCTTAACACTACTGCAAACCCTAGGGTTTAGGGTTTAGGGTTTAGGGTTTAGGGTTTAGGGTTTAGGGTTTAGGGTTTAGGGTTTAGGGTAGCGTTTAGGAATTAGGGTTTGCAGTTTAGGGTTTGGGGTTTAAGCTGGGGCTCGGGTTTAAGGTTTGCGTTGGGGCTTAGGGTTTAGGGTTTACGTTAGGGTTTAGGGTTTAGGGTTTACGTTAGGGTTTAGGGTTTAGGGCCACTAGATGCCTTGCTGGCTAATAATAAAACTGAGTTGCTGCTGGATAACTAGCCTCCTATAGTAAACCCTAAACCCTAAACCCTAAACCCTAAACCCTAAACCCTAAACCTTATAGATAAGCAACTAAACCCTAAACCCTAAACCCCCGAAATGTCTTGTGGGGAGAATAAAACAGAATAAAACCTGTTGGGAAAAAGCTAAAGAAAAACCTGCAAAGAGTACCGCGCAGCGACAGTCGACCTGCAGCAGCAGCAGCAGCAGCAGCAGCAGCAGCTGCTGCTGCTGCTGCTGCTGCTGCTGCTGAGTTGTTGGGAGCTTTTACGATAGCGCGAGTGGTTTTAACTGTTTAAAAAGGAGCAAAAAGGGAAATAAAGTGGAAATAAATAATTAAATTTGCTTTTAATGGAACTAAAAGGCCAAATCTGCTGCAGCAGCAGCTGCTGCTGCAGCAGCTGCTGCTGCAGCAGCTGCTGCAGCAGCAGCAGCGTTGTCGTCCGGGGCTGCATGCGTGTCGGGTGTACATACACCCCAAAGAACAGAGCAGCGCGAAGTTGAATTCTGTTAAAGAAGTTCTTTTGAAAGTCGGAGAGTCTTTGGAGTTCTTTTTTATTATTTTTATTGGATTTTTTGCTTCGAGGCCCCGCGAAAGCCGCTGCTGCTGCTGCTGCTGCTGCTGCTGCTGCAGCAGCAGCTGCTGCCTTTCCGGTCTCAGCCTTGCTGCTCCGCCCGCACCTCCGCGGAGCTCTTCTTGAGGAGATTCTTTTCTTTGATTTGTCAGCAGCTTTTTAAAAGTCTTTTCCCTTCTGCAGCAAGCAGCACTTGCTGTCAGGTGTGCACAGCAGCAGCAGCAGCAGCAGCAGCAGCAGCAGCAGCAGCGCAGCAGCAGCGCCGCAGCGGCGGGCGCGCCCGCC